CCTTCCTCCCGGAGGCTCATGGCACTGTGTGCAGGCACCTTGTGCAGAAGCTGAGAGCTGTAGGCATCCGCTCGGCGCGTGTGGGACATGACGTCAGCAACTCTCACCCTCCAGAGCGGTGTCTGCACTCTAACCCTCTGTTCTGTTGTATTCTGTTCATTCATTTTTTACATAGAACACTGGAAACCATCAACAAACACTAGGAGCTCTTTTCGAAGCTCCTAGGTATAGAGCCATTTCCCAGTTCCTAGGACTTCTGACCAGACAGCAGCCTTCTGGCCCTCTTTTTCTGAGTGAGTTGCAGCCTTTCCTACACTATCCCTTTAAGGATGAGGACTATTAATATTCACTCCAATTAAATAAATCCTCCAACAAGAAATAAATGCTTTATCAGTCTCTAGCTCAGCCTGCAGTAGTGTTTTGGTGGTTTTTTCATAAACAGTTGGTAAATCCGGACTATTCAGAGGCATGATGAACTTTGTAGAAGGTTTTTAGAATATAGAAGCCAAAGTTGTTCATTTTATCTGAAAAGATGATCTTCAGTCACCTATTTAGGGAACTATTTCTTTCTAAAAAAAAGAAACTACTACAAAGTGATTCCTCCCTGGTACGCTCAGCACCATTAGGGTTCAAGTGCCACTGCACCTATTATTGTAAATTCCAAAACATTAAAAACTTCAATTACCCATTTTGGTAATCGAAGCAAGAATGAGTTAGTGTATGTATGTTAGTTTTAAATCCCAGCTCCTCACGTCCTATAACGGGAGAACAATCACTTCATATACATCATTAACGTATCAAGCGTGAAGTGCGTATCAGTGTAAAATGCCTGCCTACAGCAGAAGAAAGTCATTAATAGAGAATTTATTCTCTCTCCTGATACATCCAATGACTTCTTTAAAGCAAGTTATTTGTCCTAAAAAATGACTTTATTTAAATGCTTAACTGGAGGATGGAAGGCTTTGAAATCATGATTTATTTGGCTACTGCTTTCAATGAAATCTTTTTAAACAGATTTAAGACTTTTTTTTTTTTAACCGTGCCTGTTCTGCTACACAGTGGATTATCTCTATGTGAGAACACTGTGGTTCTTATTAAAACTTTTATTGTTAAATTTCACCACATAAATATTGGCCTGGTATCAAACAGTATTTGGTGAACTGTGTTATGGGTGTAACAGTTTAAAAATAGTACGAAGTGAAAAAGAAGTTGGTAATAAGAGAAACCTTTAAAACCTGGGAGTACACGTGGGTTCTGGAGAAAACGGATGGAAAAACATTTATTAACAAGGACCCAGACCACCAGAGCTGTCTCTGTGTGGGACATTCTGGCGGATGTCTTTCTCTATCATATACTGTCCCCTTAGGCAGAGCTGTGCTGAGATTCAGTGCATAAAGAGGAGTCGAAGTTTTTTTTTGGTAGTTAAAAAAAAGTGAAGACCCCCCCAGACATAAACATCTTTAGAAGAAGACTGAAGTACTATTAGGCATACGCTGACACTTCAGCGATGTAGTCCTTATGCCCTACTGGGCAGGATGAATTGTTTTTACTCCACTGAAGGTTACTTCTAGAAGGGCTATATGCATGGCTGTAGTTCTCCTCCATAGCCCTTTCTGCTTTCATTGGCCACCACCTTTAAGGAGGGACTTGGGGATAGCTGAAGCCACCTAATCCAAGCTTAAGAGCTCCTGTCCTGGCCACACTCTCTTTTCAGTTTTGGCGAATGAGAAAGCACACGGCTGCCATTTCCTTTCTGAGAACTGTTGAGTTGGTAGGGAAGGAAGCAGATGTTCAGCTGAGTTCTGGGAGAGGGCGAATCAGGTAGGGCTGGGCTGCTCTCTGGGCCCGCTTCTGCTCTGTGGAAGTTTCTGGTTCCTCTTTACAAAGCATCAGTGTAAATGTTCTGAGCATTTACACTACCTCATCCACTTTCTGGAAAAATGAGAATTCAGAGTAGCTGGTTTTGTGTGTGTGTGTGTGTGTGTGTGTGTGTGTGTGTGTGTGTGTGTGTGCCCAAGTCTGGCCACAAGACTGTTCAACATTTTTAACTGGCTTCCTATCTAGTCATCTTTTACAAAGAGCTTCAAACCTTTAAAAAGGTCTGATCTAGATACTGCTTCTATAAGAGTACTTTGCCTACATGTGAAAATGTAGCTCTGAGAACAGTCCAGCGGAAATGACCTTCAGACAACCATGGTAGAATCCAAAGCTCTTATCTGGATCGGAAGATGAGAGCCCTGAGGCTGGGCCACAGTAGTCCTGCTTAATTACGTATTCTCATTTGATGTTGAAATCAAGCTCCTACTACCACTTCACACCGCATTCCAGAATGACATCAATGTCTTTGGCACCCAGGGCTTGGCTATGAAGTGAAAACTTCTGCCTTCTTAAGAATGTCTCATCTTTTATTAATGCTGTGATTGTTTTGGAAACTATTTTCTAGAGCAGTAATACATTTATGCTGCTTGTTTGCAGATATTTGGGAAGTTTTTTTTTTTTTTTTTTGGTCTGTTTCAGACAGGGTCTTGCTGTGCAGTTCAGGCTGGCCTTGAGCTCATTATGTAGCCCCAAAAGGGCTTGAACTCACAACAACCCTCCTGCCTCAGCCTCCCCAGTGCTGGGGAAGCAGTGGTTTATCTAAAAATATTTAGAAAGGAGAAAACTTGCATGCTTTTGACATACAAATTCTTTGACATTCTTCCCAACATTTCTGTGAGTGGGAAGTTTTTTTTTTTTTTTTAATTTTATTTATTTATTTATGTGTGTGTGTGTGTGTGGCCAGCTCAGCCCATCAGGGGGCGGGGCTGGCTGGCATGTGGTGCTGGGGGATTGAACCGCAGTCCCTGTGCTTTGCTAAGCTTGCTCCAAGTAGGTGCTTTAGACCACTGAGCCATCTCACCAGCCCCTGTGAGTGGGAAGTTAACCTGAGGATTCTTTAAAGCCCTGTTACAGATCCGCTATTTTATTTCAGCCTATTTTGGACTCTTAAATTTAAGTCTAAAAATTACTTAACCTGGGGTAAAGAATGCCTAGATTCAAAAATTCAGGCTGACCCCTCTAAATATGCAGTCTCTGGTGAATTTCCTCATCTATAAAATGGGGTTTAAAACTAGCATTCATCATATAGGGTGTATGGGAGGAGTCAATAATCACAGCTGACGCTTTTGCTCCTTCTTCAAGAAGGAAATTGATGAGGGTTGAATATTGAGCTAGTGGGACAATTATGAGCCAGTTTCATCTTCGACGAGGCAGAGATCCTAGCTTCACTTTCCAGGTGGTCAAATTATAGTAAGGAAGGTTAACCAGTTGTTTGAATAGTTCAAGATCAGGTTTGTTTCCAAGTACAGGAACATTCTGTTTTTCTTCTAGTTACATCGCAGGGTTTGTCTGTCCTAGGATGAACTCCTTTGGTTGTATTAAACAACAGGTGCAGGGGCCTGCCCCTTAGCTCAGTTCTTTAAGTGGCTGCTTCAACAAAGCAGTCAGGCTCAGGTTGCTGTGGTTCGATCCCCACAACTCAAGCAGGCCCAACCTGCCCTGAGGTCATTCGGAGCCAAAAAAAAAAAAAATCCTTCTGCCATTTCCAGCAGAAAAGTATAAAAACAAAATATAAGAAAGCCATGCTGTTATGTTGAGCTGTAGGGGACTCGGGTCAACAATTTCTGACATTGCCAGTTAAACAGAAGACCCAATGCTATTATGGGCTACTGGACTCTTTTAGAATATTTTGCTGAGTTTACACCCCTATAATATTCAAATAAAGGAACTTAACAAAAAAGGGTATACAGATGAATGTCCATTTTGTATCTGTGTATTCAAAGTGGTTAGGATAGATATATAGTTACATTCTCTTAATGAATAGAGGGATTTGTTCTAATGGTGTTAGGATATCATGTCTGCATCTTGTACAGCAATTAACCACTAGGAAGAGAGTATGTAATGTGTTAATTATTAAAACTGTCCTACCAATTTGATTTGAAACTGTCTCATTGCTATTTATCAATAACATTATGGGGGAAAAAAAAACCGGCGCAAACTGAGCCAGAACCCACGCAGGGACGGATGCAGGAGAAGGAACTAACTTCCTGTCTACCCGTGCGGTATAACCGAGTGGTTTTGTTTTTTTTTTTTGTCTTTTTGGCAGAACCGGGAATTGGACTGAGGCCCTTCGCTGGCCAGGCAAGCACTTACTCTACTGAGCCATCTCCCCGGCCCCATATCCGAAGGTTTGATCAGCGCAGTCCTGTCTCTTTACAAGCGTCTTTTCGACAGCCAGCGAACGACCTCCTCTTTCTGGACCCCAACTTAAGAAGGCCCAAACTGGGGGGGCTGAAATGATTCCCAGATTCCCTCCTGGCCAGAAAAGTCCAGTCCCGCAGCCCCAGATCCCTACACCACTCCAGCCTGCTTGTGAGCCCGAGCCAGCCACTCTGGCGTTGCCCCAACCCCACTCAATCGCTCACCCTCGTCCCCAGAGTCCCAAAGGCCACCCACGTGACCGGGGGGCTGAAGGGCAAGCGGGAAGCGCGCTCCGCGAAAGGGGGGAAGAAGCAGCGTCCCGGGAACTGCAGACGCCGGCGGCGCAGGGGGCGGAGCGAAGCAGGATGACCTCACGCGGCAGGCCCGGCCGACAGCGGATTGGTCGGCTCAGGGGCGTGGCCCTCGCTGACAGCCCGGGGGAGGAGCCAGGGCGGCCGCGCGGGCGCTGTCGGCAAACCCCGCCCCTTAGTTTCCAACCCTTCGGAGGGCGGGCGCGCCGACGTCGCGTGACGTCACAAGGGGGCGGGGCGTCCCGGGCGTCCTGCCGTGGCTCGGGCGCGTTCGGCAGTAGGTGTTTGGGACTCGGCACGCGCGGTTCCCTCGAGTTCGCTCTCCTCGGGCTGTCAGGGTCGGTCCCTTCCCGGACCGGACAGGGCGAGCGCCCGCGTGTGTGTGTGAGGGGCGCTTCGGACACAGGTGTCCCCTCACTGCTTGGGGTTTTTTTGGTCCTTTTGTCCGCTCGCAGTGCTCGCTGGGGAGCGGGGCTGCTGGGCGAGAGCTGCGCGTTTTTCCTTGGAAGTGTTCTTTTTTTTCCTCCGGCTCGGGGCCGTCGGGGTTAGCTCCTGGCCCCCAGTAACCTCCTTCGCCCCTCGGCCGTCCCCGCCCCGGTACCCCGGCCCCCGCCCCGGTCCCGCACCTGTCTCGTTATGAACGGGCTCGGCGCCCTGCCCGTTTTCATAAAAGATATTAAGGCCGGACAGAAAAACTTAAATGTCGTCTTTATTGTGCTGGAGATAGGTAAGTGGGGTCCGCAGCCCCCCGCGCCGCCCCGCCCGCGGGCTCCCCTCCCCCGCCCCCACGTGCCGCCGGCCCCGCCCTGCCGCTGGGTGAGCGGGCGGGGGGCGGGGGGCGCACCGCTGGGCGCCGCCGCCTCTAACGCTGCGCTCGGCTCGGTTTCTCCCTCTCCGCAGGACGCGTGACCAAAACCAAAGATGGCCATGAAGTGAGATCGTGCAAAGTGGCAGATAAAACGGGCAGCATCACTATTTCCGTGTGGGATGAGATCGGAGGCCTCATACAGCCCGGGGACATTATTCGGTTGACCCGAGGGTAGGTGTGCACGGAAGGGGGAGGAGTGACAGCAGCCCAGGGCGGCCGGCCCCCTCCACGAGTGCCGAGTTCTGAAGTTCCACGACTTCCCCCGACGCCCAAGTTCTAAAGTTCTAAGACTTCTGCGCCCACACAAGATGTGGGGTGCTGCTGACTGCGTGGCGACAACACAGGTCGTTCCAGGCACCACGTCCACCCCTCTTCTTACAACTGTAACCGGAGAGTTACAGTTCTAAACAGGCTCCTGGCGGTGTCTTTGCTTAGTTTGATAAGAGTCTAGTTTCTCTTTTATAGTAAGTCACTTATTTCAGGATATTCAGTTCTTTTCCAGCTTTTCCCTTCTTAATGACTTGAGAATCTGCCAGTATTTTTTTTTTTTAATTTAGATGATGTGGAGATAAATGAAAACTTGTAGAATTTAACATTTTCTATGTGTGTCAAATTTGTACTCAGAAAAAGTTATCTGGGAGGCTCATGCTCGAAAATTATTTGTTTTTGTTGTAAGGTCATGGTTGTACCAAAATGAAATGACACACAGAAAATGCATGGCAGGAGGATGTTGATGGTACCTCCATCCAAAAGATTTAATTGGCAGATTAATGGCTTTACAAAATAATTTAGCACTTTTGTTTACTTGACCGATTTAAAAAATTTACCAAATTGTAGGAAGAAAAAAGGTCAAGAACAGATCCGAAAGTTTCTGTGGTCAATCGGATCATGATAAGGTATCCAGCAGAGCTATGGTAAAAGTAGGTAGAGCTTGGTGCTGGTCTGCGAATCTCAGGAGTGCTGTACTGTGGGAACCTGGAGCTGGTTGATGCTATCAGACAGGCCTTAAAGCATTCAGGAAGTGAGGTAGCGAATCAGCAAAGCAGGAAATGACAGTCAGACTTAGACGTTTTATTTTCATGCACTGACTCATTATGGTAGTAATTAATGTCTTTTAAATTTCCACATCTTTAACTTACAGAAAAGAGAATTCTTAGCTGGCAGGGTGTGGTGAGGATTAGAGTAATTGAAGTCTTGCTCCCAGAATTGTCTTCTATCCAGTGATTTAGTAAAGCAGTATTTCATTTCAAATATTTCATATTCTGTAATATTCCCATTAAAAATTTGTCAAAAAACTAAACTCAGTAGCTGTAGTATCTAAGGAGTGCAGTTAGCAAGGCTCGCAACTTATAAAAACTCAAAACCAACGAAGCTGTTCCCTAGTTCACTGTAGCTTTGGGAAGTAAATATACCTCCATACCTCAGTAGCTACTTCTGTAGAGTGGGAACACATGTACCTTTTGTAATAAGAGCGCTCGGCCTGGACTGTGGCCTGCTGTAGGCCCTCAGATTTGTTCTGGCAAAATCTAAGAAAAACAACTTTTTTTTATGTATTTAGTAGAGGGTCTACGGACTCACTACACAGATCAGACTCGTAGTGAGCCTCCTGTTTTAGCCTTCCAAGCGCTGGGATTACAGGCATATGCCACTATGCCCAGTCTCAGTCTTGTCTCAGCATGCCCTGGGGGCGGGACCGGCACTTGAACCCAGGTCCCTGTGCCTGCCTAAGCAGGCGCTTTAGTTTGCGGAGCTATCTGGCTGGCCTGAAAAATAACTTTTGAAAATGAGCATACATAACATCTAAATTGATAGTTGATTTGGAATATTAGCATGTTTGTAGCCCTTATGAAACTGATCTCAGTAGTCTTCAGTTCTTAAACAAGTGAAAGTTAACTGTTGGAGTTGTAATTGTTCAAGTGTATTTTTCCACAAATATGCATTCATATTTAGTATAGAGGAGTGAAATGTTAATGTGTGCTTTCTCAGGAACTTTTTTTTCTTTTGTATCTTAGGGAAGGGTCTGCAGGTGTTCAGGGTGTCACTACTAGATTGGACTCGTAGTGATCCGCCTGTTTACAGCCTCCCAAGAGCTGGGAGTACAGGCCTGCTCCACCATGCCCAGTCTCAATTGCTGGGGGCGGGGTCAGGGCCAACATGGCAGGCCCAGGGATGGAACCCCTGGCCCCTTGGCCTGCCTGCAGTCACTTTAATCCACTGAACTGTTTGGCTGGCCCTTTAGGAACTATTTGTATAACTTAAGAATAGTGAATGAAGTCTTCAGTAATCCTTACTAAAAAGAGATCTTTGAAATTTAAAGCTAGGGAATTTTTACTAACTAATTAAAAGACAAAGTAATGCTATATTTGGTTGCTGTTTAGCTATGTGATTTTAAAAGTCATCAAGTTACCATGGTAGTTACAGAAAAACCATAAAACCTTGGACTGAGTCTATAACACTGACTCAGAGTAAACAGTAGCTCAGCCTCGTTGGTGTTGAAAGTCGCAAAGTTGGAAAGGCAGGTGCGTAAAAAGGGTTGTGCCTCCAAAGTGAGTAGGTGGATTAATTCTGCCAAATGTTCAGTGACCTGGGGACCTGCACCATGCAGAGGTGGAAGGAAGACCGTTCCATTGCTGTCAGTGTAGGCGATGTCGGGGTGTAAAAGTGAGTATCAAGCTGCTGATTTTATGTAGCTTATGGCTGAAAAAATAAAAATCTTAGATTTCTTTTGTTACAAGCTCTTGTTAATTGGCCATGTCACCTGTGCATAAGAATACATGCTTTACAAAAAGACTGTTACTTTCTAGAGTTATAATTTAATAGTAGTGTCGAGACTGACCTACAGAATTTTCCTAGTAGCAAGTTAATCAAAGCTAGATTTACTGTATTTGATTTACCATAGTAAACAGGCAGCTTGACTTCCTGTGCAGAGAACCGCAGCCTAGAGTTTGACTTAGCTCCAGGAGACTCGTGTCTTTTCTCTAGGTACGCGTCCATGTGGAAAGGATGCCTGACGCTTTATACTGGAAGAGGTGGTGAGCTTCAGAAAATTGGGGAGTAAGTATTGAAATGCATTCCATGTAGTGGGATAAGTTACAGATAATGTCTACAGAATGTTGGTAGGTACAAGCTACAAACACTTCCTTGGCTTTTTTGATGGATAAACTGTTTGACAGCTTTGTTTTCTGAGTAGGTACTAGTTTAGCAGCTACCAGTAGCATTTCCTGTGGCCTAGAATGTCAGCTTTTCCTGGCAAAGAGCAGTAAGGGGCAGCAGTTGACATGAGCCCAGTGGGCCAGTGGGACCATTTCTGTAGTCTTTCAGGTGTTACTTGAAGTGAATTCTCCTTGCCAGTGGTTCTCCAACGTAGAAAGCAGGCATAAGCTGTGGGTCGTAGAATCAAATTTCCTTTTCTCTGTGCATGGTTGAATTTGTACTCTGTGACGAGGACTTGCAGCAATGGAAACTGAAGTCCTCTGTTTATTCACAGGCTAGGCATGGTGCAGGCAGCCGCATTGCGAGCTTCCATACACTGCTACCCTGCTAAGATCTCCACCCTGGCCTGGAGGAAGCATCCTCTCTAGGGGTGTAAAGGTAACTCGCCTCCATGTAGCCTAGCCCTTTGGTGGCGCTCAGGAAGTGTGCATCAGCAGGGAGCCAGGCTCTCGGGGAATGCCCGTCACACTGGAGGATGTTTAGAGAGGAGCTACAGGTGGCACTAGGGTGATGGGAAAAGAAACTTACACTCAGGGGATAAGGTTCTTTAGGAAATGTTTTAATAATTTTGCAAGCTTAGAAAGAACAGAGACTGAGCCAACACTCTGCTTTCATTAGAAGGAAAGTTAGGGATTTTACCTAATGTTATGAGAATTGTGTGTTGAAATGGCCCTACGCAACAGGGTTTACATAGTAGAGTCAGGTAGAGGAGCAATCGCAGGAGGTCCCTCAGTTCCCGATGACTGCTCTTTGTCAGGGTCGGTTAAGGGTTTCCCAAAAGTGGTTCTAGTTTTTTCCCAGTGGGTGAGGCCCTAAGGAATCGCTCATTGTACGTGTGGTGCACGTCCTGCACCAGCTTGGTGGAGGTCCAGGGTTAGCGGGCAGCGTGATAGCCAGTGGTCTGCCTGTCGCCACAACCCGCTCTTAACCTTGGCTGATTGTCTTTGCAGATTCACAGTGATGGGTCCTGAGGGACGGGATGAGCGTGTGAGTGGTCATGTACGCCCACCACACTGCTGGAGACGCCCGTCCGGAGCCCAAGCTGTGTGGAAAACCAGACAAAGACGTGTTGCTCTGTCCTTGATCTTTGACGTGATTGATACTTTGCAGTACTAAAACGAAATTTAAATACAAAATAGAGCGTTGTAGGTGTTGTAGTCAAATACTGGTTGTTTTTATGGATGTAATTATTTAGAAAGTATTGCTATAAATAATTATGTTAAGCGGGCGATATGGTAATTCACTTGACGTGTAAATTATTTCTATAAGGCAAGGGTATCAGCTATAGAAAGGTTCATTAAGTTAAGTGGTTTAACTTCTCCTGTATTTTCTTCCAGGTTTTGTATGGTTTACTCCGAAGTGCCCAATTTCAGTGAGCCCAACCCAGATTATCGAGGCCAGCCGGACAGAGGGGTAACTAATCAAAATGTGCAGTGGGTTTGTAGGGTTGGTCACATTTGGCTCTATGTTTTGGTTCTAGGATTAGACTAATGCTGTAAGGTCAAGTGTAATGAGGACAATTATAACGAGTCTCGGGAGTAATATTCCGTATGTTAGTGAGTCTGTAGGAGGTGTGGTGTCACAGGCACACACATGTGACATACATGCACTGTGTCACACCGTGAGTCAGGAAATGGAAGGTCTAACAGGAGCTAGAAAGGCTTGGGGAGCCTCTCTGACTCTCAGCAGTTGGATACATTTGGACAGATCTTCAGAAAACATTTGTTAAAAACAAAACTTAAAAAAGTTAAAAGATAATTAAAATAATTTAATAATAATAATATTTTTTAACCATATAAAGCTTTATCTGGCGAACTTAAAACTTTTTTTTAGGCCCACAATGAGCAGAAGATGCATTCCATGAATAGTAATACTGGTGCAGGTACCTTTGGAACAGTGGGTAAGATTTTTATTTTTGTATATTTATGAAACTGAAGTATAGAAATTAAGGGAGTCATGAAAGAGCTAGGAGGTGCCAGGTACAGCGCATTTCTGTAGTCCCAGCTGCTCAGGAGGCTGAGGTGGGAGGAGCACTTACACCATCAGGTTTGAGACCAGCCTGGGACATGCAGCAGTTCAAAAAAAAAAATCGAAGAACAAAAAGCAAGTGTAGGTGTAAGGCAGTACTGAGGCTGAACTGCTGCTGCCTGGAGTCTCCGGCAAGCTGGCTTTGGAAGGCAGGGCGGGATGCTTGGAGCCAGTTCAGCAATACCAAGCACATTCTGTATTTAACGTGTGGACCAGTTACAGGCACATGTCAGTGAATGTTGACTGGTAACGGGGTCTCAGTTTTGGTGGTACATGTGGAGAGGTGATATACCACTTTCCCTGTTTATAAAATTTTTGTCATCCAATGATTACAGTAAATAGCCATTTTATTTTGGTACACTGAGAGCCTGTCTTTAGAATAGTACACATGGCGAGTCATAGTAAATGAATACCTTGAGTTGTGTGTATTATCCTCTGTGTTTTGAAAGATGAGCCTTTTCCCCTCCGATGTCTTGTTAATGGCCCTTGTGGCTCCGCTAAAGGTCTTTTGAAGCTCTTTTTAAATAACTGAGGAGAAAAGCTTGTGATTGGCATTCCTTAGGGTGGCTGATATTTCAGGTGGCCCTGTGGCCTGTTTTGGTGTAGCGGATACCTTACTGTGGGGAGCTGCTATCCGCCTGAAAAGGGTGAGGTCTACATTGTCTGTTTTGAAACAGTAATTAGACTTGAGCCTAATGCCAGTGATTAAACAGTTTTCGCCTTTTTTTTTAATGTTCACAGACGGTGTGTATCTACTTTTTTTCCCTTTTTTATTTTATTTTTAATTTTTAATTTCTTTTTTTTTGTGGAACTGGGGATTGAACTCAGACCCTTGCGCTTGCCAGGGAAGCGCTTATTCTACTGAGCCATCTCCTTGGCCCCCTTTTTTCCCCCTTCTTTATCTCCAATTTTGTTGCCCATTTTCAGTTTTTTTCTCCCAATCAGTACAGCATCAAGTTAATGTATTTGTAGTAGCTTTTGTAAAGACCTAGAGCCTACTTCGGATCTCCTTTTTCCATAGTATCTATAGGTATTAATAACATGTGCTGGAACCTGTAATCGCCGTACTTCTGTAGCTTGTCTAGACCACTTTCCCAGCAGTGATGGTGCTCTGTATTCTCTTGCAGGCAATGGTGTTCAGACTGGCCCTGACGCGCGGAGATACCAGCCTTCCCATGCTGGTAGAAGCAGTGGCCGGGGACCTGGCAACCCACAGCTCCCAGCAGCAGCTAATAATCAAACAGTCATGACCACAATGAGTAGTGGCAGGGACCCTCGGAGAGCCTTTAAGAGATGACCTATGCCAAACAGTCACGTGTAGTTTTTAAACTACGTGCCCTACTTGAACACTTAGTGCACTTTTATTTATTGTTAACTGTGAAAAAAAATGTTCTTTATTGGTTTCCTCTTCCATTTTTGTTCAGGAGTGGTTGGTTTTTATAGTCAGTGTTAAGCTGCTCAGTGTCCTAATGAGGAATGGGAACACTCTGAAAAGTAGGGGCATTTATTTTTTGAGCAAAATGTTACTGATTATGTTCTGTAAAAATCCTGCACCCATTTCCAGGGTGAGTTCCAGTGTCAGCTTACAGCCTCTATGAGTCTGTCTTCTGTACATGTTTTGTAATGTTTGACATTAGACATAGTGGAGATGTTCTTGTGTTTTAAGTCCAGATATTGTCAACTAAAGCAATAAATGCCAAAAATAGAAATAGTAACTAAAATCCAGGAACTCGGCCAGTGCTAGTAGCACTTTTTGAGCATTTGTGACTCTGGGTATGACCTGCTTTAGTGAGTGACTGCCATTGAGATTTTCCAAGGACTGAATCATCCTAAATTCTTGTCTCATTACCAAAAAACGTGTTCTTTGTCAGAATTACGGAGTTGAATGTGATCTGTGTTGTAACAAATATTTTTTAGAAGAAAGGCACAGTTAGTTTTATGTTCATGGACATCATAGATTACATTAAAGGGAAATACACTGAGGCCTTGGATATTTTTGAGCCTACCATGTTAAAGTGTAATTTATAAACACTGATCTAATCTAAAACGTAATTGTGATACACATTACAATGAAGGCGATTCAAATTGAATTCATTAGTAATTAATGCTCAGTCTCAAGTCCCAGACCCTACCTCCTTCAGGTACTTGGCGTGAAGTGAAGGTCCCTGGCACCTAGGCACGGCACGTGTGTGCTGTTATATGAACACACTTGGATAGCCTTATTAGCAGAGGGAACGACTCAAATGACCGACAGTTTTATTCAGAAGTGTTAGGTTGGAATTTGTGTGTCATAAATGGTACCCACTTCTGCTTTTTACCGTAGGGTGGGTAACTCGTGCAGTTTTCCTTTGTTAGAATTCACCCCTTTTTAAATACTGTCTCTTGAATAAAACTTGCATTCGTGTTAACAGATCTCCTGCTCTTTCAATGCCGTGATGTGGAGAGCCCCGTGCCTCTGACTGCCCTTTTCAGGATAGCCTCAGCCTGACAGTGACTTAGCCCTGCGCTTGTCACTTCTCCCCCCACCTCCATCATAAAATGATTTTAAGCAGATCTTGTCTGAATTTCCATAGCATTTGAGTAGGAAAATTTGCCGGATTTTGGGGGTTTCTGATGCAGCACATTTTACAGATACTTTAGTACCTACTGTATATTCAGCACTGTGTGAAGAGTAAAGAGGAAAATAGAGTATTGAGTGACTTCAAGTTTATGAACTGCTATTTTGAAGCTTTATGTTAAAAAATTTTGTGTTCATATATTAATGAATTTGGCTTTGTTGTATTTCACAATACCTCAAAAATTACCTAAGGATCATAATACATTTTAAGATGACATGTGTTTTGAATACGCTACAGATGCCCTAATTTTGAACTCCAGAGGTGGAGCAGCAGCATATTTAGTATGTCCCTTGTGGAGGGCAGCGTTGAAGGGGATGGTGAGGCCGTCCTGCGGAATGGCAGTACTGAGACACCCCACAGGTGGCTTGCTGTGCTCTAGCCTGCCGATCTTGCTAACTTGCTTCCTGACAGTTACTAGGCTTGGAACTTTTTTCCTGTAAACCTCAGGTTCTGCAGCAAGGAGAAGAACGCTCGCCATGGAGTTGTGTAAGGCTTCCGAGTTTGGATCCGCATGACTTCTGGTAAATATAAGCAGTCACATGTCATACCTTGAGAGCAAGAGGAGGATTTGGTGTGATCGGATCATCCTGTAACCCACTGAGATGAACTCGCTGCTTCTGTGATTGATGCTGCAGTAATTTAACCTTGTTCTCTGCTTTCATTATTAACAAGTCTCTTTTTTTCTTAAGGGAGGCCTCCAAAACCAGAGCCACGGGAATTATGGTGCGTAACGTTGCTTTACCGGCCTGCTTGGACGGCTCTCATCGAGAAGTTTCTCCTTTCTCCTGGCACTTTTGGCTGACAACTTTGAAATTTAAACACCATGTAGTGCAACAAAAACCGTTCAGTATAGAAAAGCACTTTGCTAGGGTTGGGCCCAGTTCTGAAGGGCCCCAAAGCCTAATTGTCTCCAGAGCTGAGCAGGCTGTGAGGTGCCGCACGGTGCAATAGGAAGCTGAAACCCGATGCGCCCGACGTCGCGTAACTGAAGACGCTGTCCCACAGCTGTTTAAGCACTCAGGATTTCCTGTCCAGGCCCTCCTGTGCTTTTGCCTTCTCCCTGCAGTCTTACTCTTCTGTGTGTGAAGGTGGTTTAATTTGGGCATACTCCAGATGGAGGTAGCTCTGCTACTGGGTCTTGTAGCTGTCGTGACAAGTGAAGGTCTGAAGGCGTGATTGAGTAATGCCAAAGCAGAAATGGGGAGAGCAGGTAGACATGAGCTTCATGTTTACTGAAAACAGGGCTGGAGGTTTCAGTGGCTCGGAAGCATTTTCTTAGCGGGTATACTGGGAGTTTTATGTTGATCAGAAGACACTGCAGTTGATGGTTCACATTTTATGAAAGTCCAGCTGAAGTTCCTGACATGGTTTGCCCATGCTGATCTTAATGTAGCTACTGTTTGAACCAAGCCATTTTGGGCTGCAAGTGACTGATCCTGAACTTGGGGTTTTCTAGAGAAAGCAGGTGCAAGTGACATCACCAGGGTGCCTCCCAGCGCGGCACATGGTGTGCTTTCATCTTGAGGTCCTGCCCCTACTATTTCTGTTAGCAGTCTAGTTTTCCTTTTGTCAGATGAGAGTTAATGTTTCAGGAGAACAAGATGGTCAGTAGTTATCTAGTGAGGGCAGCTTGAGGCCGTCAGAGGCCGGGGACCTTGGCGATGGCCTGTTGAGGGTTCCAGCTGATGACGCTTCGTGGTAAACAGCCCTGCAGTTGACGAAATAGTAATGATTAACAGTCAGGTGTGGTGCTGAGGAAATCTAATGTGACCTTTGGAAGCCGCAGTGTGGTGATGTTAGGCTGTGGGGAGGAGCTTGAAAAACGTGTGAGTTCTCTGGGTGTCTCAGTGTGTTTTCCTGCGAATGTGTACCAGAGTTTGAATTCAGATACTGTAACCAAATCACTCCAGGCTTCCAAACTAATAGTGGGACGATGGGGGATTTAGCTCAGGGCACATTGCCTGTCTGACAAGTGAAAGATCATGAGTTTGATTCCTTGTATCAAAGCAAAACATTTTTAAAGAGTCTGTTACTAGCTGTCAAGGCACAGATCACAGGCTGAGGTGTCCCCATGGAAAGGCTGACAAGCCATTAATTACGTGCCCCCCCCCCCATGGTATAGAGGATTTAACCCAGTGCCTTGGTGCTGGGCTATGTAGAACAAGGCTTTGCTGAATTGTCCAGGCTGGGCTTGAGCATACAGTGCTCCCTTATTTTCTCAGCTTGGCAAATTACCATTTTTTTTTCCATTCAGATCCAAGAGTATTAGCACTTTGTAACATTTAAGCTGTTACATACTTAAATTTTCTGGAAGGTTACAGTAAGACAAAACAGTTGTGGTTCTTCAAGCTTCTTGAACAACGAACTCAAGGCTTCCATGATGTGCTGTTGAAATACAGTGCAGCCACCTTCCCTGGAGAATGGGTGGACTGTCATGTGATACCTGTTTAATCTCTATTGAAGATTATACAAAACCTCTTAACATTTTTTTTTTTTTTTTTTTTTTTTTTGGTGGAACTGGGGATTGAACTCAGACCCTTGCGCTTGCCAGGGAAGCACTTATTCTACTGAGCCATCTCCCTGACCCTGTTCTTAATTAACATTTCTGACAGGGAGCTCAAACACATTTTAAACATTTTAGTCATCAAAGTGTGCATTTGCACAGGATAATTTCTTGTTCCAAACACTGGCTATAGACTAACAAATTTATGCTAGGGCTGGGGAGATAGCTCAGTAGAATAAGTGCTTGTCTGGCAAGCGCAAGATCCTGAGTTCAATCTCCAGTACCACAAAAACAAAAAAAAAAACTTGACCAATAAATGCATACTAAATGAAACGTTTGTAAACGACCTACATGAGAGGCCCTAGGAAGCTGGTAAAAGAATAAACTGCTACCTGGATCTGGTTGGTCCTGGCAGAACTCGTAGGCTGGGAGAACTGCACTTGAAACACCCTGGATGGCTTTGTTCCCTTTCCTTGAACTCTCCCTTTTAACAATTTAGGTTACCTAGCTTTGAAATTATGTTTTCTGTTTCTTTTCCCATATGAGTCTTGGTTTGGTTCAGATAGGATTACTCAAATCATGCCAAAGCCAAGGTCAGATCTCTAGCATAGGTCACATGGTTTCAACGGCCTCTACAAAGGTGAAAAAATCCTCTTTGCTCAGACCTTCGCTCATCAAGTCTAGCACAGGTGTTTTCACATGTGGAAGCTAGTGCATCTGTGTAGTGCTCCTGGGTGTGTGTGTGTCTCAGTTCCCCATTAGAAGGAAGGCTGGCCAGTGCGATAATAGCAGGAAAAATTCCCAAGCACGCCATGAGCAGTCTTCAGCTTCAGGTGTCTATGTGGTTCTGTTCAGAGAAGCAGCCATGTTTTCCACAGTGCAGGGCATGACTGGGTTGCCACGACCTGCTAGTCTTCAGTTTTCAACTAATTACAGCTCTAGTAGGCCAACCTGACCCCTTCAGTAATGAAGAGGTAGTCAGAACTGGTGCCCTCTACTGGTGACTGCTGCATTGTTCAGGGTGCGAAGAAAAGGCTCAGGCCTATTGCGTAATTTTTGATGGTATCAAAGCGGATAAGATCATTAAGGGGAAGTTGTATACACCTAAGTTTCAGGATGAGCAATACTCAGTGACGTTAAAGCTGAATTTTCTCCAGTTAGGCACATTAAATCGTGAACCACCCCTAAAGCTATAGAAAATTGGTAAAAATTGCCAGAGTTTGTATTCTCACATTTGTCAATATTACTAGTGAGAAGTATAAACTGTTGACAACTGAAAGGGCTTGTGGAGCTACCCTTACACATTTTATTCTATTACTCGGTGGTATTCTATAAAACCTTAGCCAAATTTCTACTGCTATTTTTTGTGTGTGAGAGTGTGTGAGCGAGAGTGTGTGCGTGTATGTTGTGTGTAGTCTTGTACCAGCGATCACACTCAGGACCTTGTGCTTGGCAGGCAGGTGCTTCTGCTGCTGAGCTGTCTCCCCAGCCCTCAGCTGCTGCTGTGTGTGTGAGCTTTGCAGAACATAATCCATTTCAAATGCCAGACTGCTTTGGTGAAGACAGTTTTGAGTGGAGTGGATGTGGGATTTAGTCCTGGTCCTGCTATTTCCTAGTTTCACAAGCCCCCTAAAGTAAGGATAATGGGGCGAGGTACCCACCGGGTTATGAGGACTATGCAAGCCAGTGTGTACTGAACATCTGTATCCCAGGCTCAACAAATGTGAAACCCTTCCGTGGACATACATGCTGATCATTTCTCCATGCCATCTAAAGAGAATGTATCACTTTAGAATTAAAGATTTAGAACATCATAGGTTTGAAAGCTGGAATGCTAAGTGATTCATCTGAATTACACTTTTAAACAGTCAAGCAAGGTTTCACTCTGGGCATAACACAGCCACAGCAGCACATAGAGTTGGGTCTTCACTGCAAAGCTGTGCTCATTGGCTAACCATCCTGTCCTGTCTTTGCATCCACCTCTACCCAGAAGATGAGGGGCAGGGTTTGTGCCAGAGAAGAGGTCTGGCTGAGGGGAAGGCGGAAGGCACCAGGAAGAATTTTGTTCCCAGTGACAGCCTTTAGAGTTGCTGTGTATCTTACTTTGTCACTACTGAGGTGAAGTAACTGACAGCTACAAGATAAAGGAAGAAAGTTTGCTTTCGCTCAGTTGGTAGGAGCTTCCGTTTGTAGTTGGCTCCAAGACAGGGCACTGGCAATGTGGCCCGGCAGCAGAGACACAGCCTACAGCATGGCAGGCAGGAGGCAGCAGGCTCTCCTTTCCCTC